TAAAACAAAACCTATTACAATGTGCCCTGTGTCCATGTATGGTCACATTCTTTCATAGGCTTAATTTTATCAACTGCTGTTCACTTTTCTTTTTCTTTTCTTCTTTCTTTCTTTCTTTCTTTCTTTCTTTCTTTCTTTCTTTCTTTCTTTCTTTCTTTCTTTTTTGTGGAACCGGGGATTGAACTCAGGCCCTGCACTTATTCAACTGAGCCATCTCCCCAGCCCTTTGCTGTTCACTTTTTTAAGAAGTAGGACAGTGACTGAACTGGATGTAGGGAAGGCAGTAAGACATTATAAAGATACAAAGACATTCTACCATTCTCTTCCTTCAAATATCCCAGATTCTAGCATCCTTTTAGTAAATAAGATGTATGACAACAATTATCGGCGGCGCTTTCTCTACAATGGCGTGCCCAAAGTCAACTATAATACACATATCAGTCATGCTAACAGGAGCAATGAGATCAGTGTGCTTGGAGGGTTTCCCACAGGGAAAAAAAATTGTGCTCTGTCTTCTGTCTTCAGAAGTTGCTTTTAGACATTTAACAGTGGCTTCTCCTGGGCCGCAGAGCTGTACATTTAATGAAATCAGAATCAAAAATTACTGGCATGGACCTTAGGGAGAGGGGATACAGGATACACTTTCTACTGAGAGATAGAAATACACTTTCTATTGAGAGCTTTGCCTTAAGAAAATGTCACCAAACCAGTTTTTAGTAACTGACAAAGCCAGAGAAAATCATACCACAAATCTCCAGAGCCTTTGCGATGTGCCAGACACAGCCCTTAACAGGGTAGCCCTCCCTCCCTGGTGAGTCCTACTTTCACTATTTAAGAAAAGAAGACAGTAGTAGTTCTACTTCCTACATATGTACTGTACTTCACTAGGCTGGGTGGTTAGGCTGGATGGAGCAGGATGCATATACATTGCTACAAATCTTTTTTTTTTTTTTTTTTTTTTTGGCAGAACCAGGGATTGAACTCAGGCCCTTGTGCTTGCCAGGCAAGGGCTTATTCTACTTAATCATCTCCCCAGCCCCACCATTTTTTTTTCTTTGTCCATTTCTTCCTCACCTCTGGAAAATTGGAATAAGCGGAGCAAAAGTCAAGATTGTAGGAAAAAGGGAGAACGATCAAAACTTGCAATAAAGTTGAATATATATATATTTAGTACAGGGCCTCACTACTCAGCTCAGACTTGTAGTGATCCTCCTGTTTTCAGCCTTCCCAGTGCTGAGATTACAGGTGTGCGTCACCACACCCCACCTCTCTGTGGCTGGCTCAATACGCCTGGGGGCAGAGCCTGCACAGTCAGGGATCAAACCCTGATCCCTGAGCTCGCCTAAGCAGGCACTTAGTCCACTGAACTATCTCGCTGGCCCAAAGTTGAGCATCTTCATCAAAGAAAGCGTGCTTTAAACTTGTGAGTTAGTATTTTTAATCCTTCAGTAGGAACTGCCTCTACATGTGGCAGCTGAGAAACTAGTGTTCCCAGTTGTGACTGAGTTGGTTTTAAGCTCACCTCGGACAAATATTTCTGACACAGCCACAGGCAACTGGCTGTAAACAGAACAATGCCACAACTGCACTGCTACACTAGCAGGACCCAAGAAACACAGACCCGGGTTAGAACACTTCCACTCTGTTTTCTACAGAAAGTAAAGCCAAAAGCTACATATATATCTATTACTTTCTCTCCCTTCTGCAAGAACTCTTGTATAATCAGAGTTCTGGAGAATTGGATTTGTCCTGGATCTTGTGAGAATCTTGCTAGCAGAGACTGGCAAATGCCTTTGCAAAATCAAGATTAATCCAAGGCTCAGGATCCTCTCCTAAAGAAGCAAAGGTTAAAGAGTAATCAAGTGATGGGCACAGAGAAGCTGTTTTGTTTAGAAAAAAACAAAAAAAAAAAAACAAAAAACCCACAAAAAACAGGATCAGTCATCCTTAGCTCCACAAAGATTTGACTTAGGATGAGTGCCCCAACCTGCTTGATCATATATTTAACTGAGATATTTGTCAAAAATCAGGCTTCATAGCGGAGTGTGGCACCTGCCCACCATCTCCCTTCTTGGGAAGCTAAGAGAGGAAGGCTGTAAGTTTGAGGTCAGTCTGGGCATGGTTCTAATTCACCCCAGGTGACTTACAATTGAGAAATACTATACATTTCTAAACCAGGAAACTATACTAATCTAACAAACAAAAAGTTTCTGCTATTTGACTTTTCTGAACAACCAATCCTGTAGCTAGTAACTTAAAATATTACTTTTGTATAAAAAATGACTGTAGATCCCAGACAAAGTCAGGCAGAAAAGCTCTCTTGAAAGAGACATGGGAATTATCTTCTAGAACATTCTTCCAGAGTCCAGCCCCTCGGCTGGCAGCAGGTTCCTTGGTTTTCTTTTCCATAGAGGCAGAGTCTACAGAATTCACAGGCCAGATGCCTTTCCTTTAAAAGCTGCACTTGGGGCTGGGGAGCTCGGTGGTCTAAGCACCTGCCTGGCAAGCTCAAGGACGAGGGTTTGATCCCCGTGCTGGAACCAAAACCAGGGAAGGTAGCACACGCCTGTAGTCCCAGCTCTGGGGAGGCAGAGACAAGGGGATCACTATGAGTCCGAGCTGGTAGCAAGACCCTGTACCAAATAATAAATATATGATTTTTAAAAATAAAAGATTAAATAAATTGAAAAGCTGTCATGAATCCATGAGCTTTTAGAAGCAGAATTTCTTCCCAAGCCTCTGTAGAGTCATAAATAATACCTTAAGGAAAAGGACTATTAATTTACCTCAAAGGGAAATTGTCAGATCAGCTGTGTATGTTTAGAATTCCAATAAGGATCCACAGAAACAAACCCAAATGACTTGAGTGCTTACAATTTAACTGGTGAATCAATTGTAGGTCACTAAGGGACCTGCAGAGGAACATAGGCTACGGACATCACTTTTTAAACCAGAATTTTTATTTATTTATTTATTTTTTTTGTGCTGGCAATTGAACTCAGGACCTCGCACTTGCCAGGCAGGCGCTGTACCACACATTGACCCCTAAACCAGATTTTAAGTGTACATATCGGTTAGAGAGATGAACACCGAGAAAATTTTCTGACCACGACTTTTACTACCATCTGCAAACTACCTTTTCCCTCTGCGAGTGCGAGCTGATCTATTTATTCCTGGCAGAGAGAAAAGGGGACGGAGCCCAGACGCCACGAGAAAACCACTCCGGAGAACTCGGACCAGGGCCAAGGGCCCAGCCCACCTGAACGAAAACGAAAGGCGGCCACACGCAGCCCGGGGAACCCAGGCTCTTCCTGAACTTCGCGGGGGTGACCCCGCGTCCTAGCGCAGGTGCGGGGACGCGGTCCCCGGTGCTGCCGAATAAATAACGCGGGGCCCGCGCGAAGGGAGCCGCTCCCGAGCAGGTGCGGCCGTGGTCGGGTTTGCATCCGGACTCGGCTCCTCGCTGCCGCTGCTCCGCGCTCCCCGGACCTTTGTCCGCGCCACCTTTCCCGCGGCGGGGCTGGGCGGGCGGGAGCAGGCGGAGGGCGGGCGGGCGCGGCCCCAACGGCTGGGCTGCCGCACCGGCCGA